CTGCGAATACGAAGTCAAAAGGTTTTCCTGATTAGTCTGACGAAGTAATCAAAGAGTACGAGTTTGATTAACGGGAGAAGAAACGGTCTATGTTTCCTCTTAAAGAATAAAAAGAATTACGAGAAAGAGAAAGAAAAAGAGAGAGAGAAAGAAAAAAAAATGGAGAACGAACATTTTTTTTTTTTACATTTTTTATTTTATTATTATTATTATTATTGTTATTATTATTATTATTATTATTTTTAATGCAATGACATTACTTTTTACTTGATAAATTTTATAACTATTTATTCGGTCACAATTATCAAACAGGTTTTTTTTTTTTTTTTTTTTTTTTAATACAAGGACATCACTTTCTATTTGATAAATCTTATAAGTATTTATTTTATCATGGTTATCAAACAGAATAGATATAAAACAGGATGCGAACACCCTTTTTCTTTTTGTTCCTCTTGCTTGTGTGTAACGGGTTATTTCATTCTAATCCCAGGCGACGAAGAACGGCGTGAGGATTAAACGAAGAAAAGGGAAGAGAAAAAGAAATAGAAAAAGAATAAGAGAGGAGGGAAAAAAACAAAAAAAAGAAAAAAAAAAAAAATAATACGCCTGAGTCTTATTGCTATAAGGTCGTACTTTGTATGCGTCTCTTCATTCGTGTATATACGTGTATATACGTGTGATACGTGTGAAACGTGCTTAAGAAAGCGAAAAGACACGTGCTCGAGTTTTGCACGGCTCTATCGAAAAACACACATGGCCGTGTCGCTATTATTTCCAAAAGACAATAATAATTCTTTAGGGATTTTTATATCTCTTTTATTTAGTCCTATATAATGTTTCGTTTGATGTTAACACGTTCGACATACATATACACATATATATTTTTATATACTTATATTAAAAAGTGGATCTGATAGAAAAAAAGGAGGAAAAAAGGAAAAGAAAATAAATTTCAAATTGTATAGAATTTTTTTCTCCTCATTATATACCATCACTATCATCATCGTTATATATTCAAAATGTTTTAAAGATATTGAATTAAAGCTTTTACGATATTACGAAATTTATCAAATAATAATAAAAAATAAATAAAAAAATATGTAACAATTATATAAAACGTGATAAATATATAATTTATTTCTTTCGATCAAAATAACATGGCATTTAATTGTCATAAAACATAAGTATAAGTGTGTTAATTATATACCAGTAAAGGATGTCCTGTATAACATTAGAATGTTTTTCAGTAATAAAGGAAGAGCAATAATCGTTTTACTGAATCGAGGAAGTTTAAAAAGGGCAATGAAATGAATGGAAAATATAAGAAACGGATATGAAAGAAACATGATTTTTTCGATTTATCGAATCTCGATATTCACCATTTCCTATTGACCTTCTCTTTCTTTCTCTTTACATTTCTCGATTGGTGTCGAACACATTACGTCACGATTACACGGCTCGTTACATTTTCACGATCGAATCGTGTATAAATAAAAGCTTCCGTAATCGTAAAAAGAACAATACTGTGATATTGTAGCAAGTTATACTCTTCCCCCGGCCCCCTTGTTCGATGTAAACCAATGGAACGTTGTATTTCAGTCACAAAAATGTAAAAATTTTACCAAAGAAAAAAGAATATATATATGAATGAATATATGAAAGAATATATATATATATATATATATATATATATATATATAGTCTTGATAGCGAACGACTAAAAAAATTATATTAATATTTATAACTTATAATATATTATTAATAAAAATATAATATTAATAAAAATTATATCAAAGTAATAAAGTTCCAATATATCTCATTAATTAAGAAAGGTAATTATAAAAATTTAATTTCTATTTATTCGATAAGTATTTTTATTAATGATAAATCTTTTTTTTTTATGTAAAATAATATATGAATATTTTGATAAGTTATAATAAAATATTAATATAAATGATCAATATAAATAATTAAGTATCAGGCTTTGCGTCTGGATTTGTTATAAATTTTGCTAATTTATTTATAAATTACTAATACATAATTATTATTATAAATATAAATATGTTTATTATAAATACTGATGCAAATGATACGAATATATTTCAAAATATTGAATCCAATAAATATATACATATATTAGTCAATTAAAATTTTCTAATTAATATATCGAGTATATATTATTGTACATTCGTTGTTCCAGCTATTATATATATATATATATATATATATATATATATATATATATACAAAATATTAGCTTTTCTATTTTAGCACAATGCGGAACGAAGATTGTTCATCACTGATGTAGACGATACTCGCATGGTATTTTGCAGTAATTTGAGACATGGATTCTCTTTCTCCTCTTCATCCACTTCTTCTTCTTCTTCCTCATCTGCCATCGTCGTTGTCGTCGTCGTCGTCGTCGTCGTCGTCATCGTAATCGTAATCGTAGTCGTAGACGCCGCCATTGCGTTGGCGGTCGTGTCTTGCATTCGACTCATTCGTCCGTTTCTTCCTTCTTCTTCTTCCTCTTCTTCTCCTTCTTCTTCCTTCTCTTCTCCTTCTCTATTTTACTCTTCTCTTTGGACTCGACCGCAATCGTGTCAATAAACTTCTACTAGAGGATCATCGTCTCCTTTACTGGAGTACATCGACGTTGATATGTGAATTTGACGTATTTCTCGTTAATCAAAAATAATTTCTAAAAATGTTTCGACAATTTTTCACAATTTTTCACATTTTTTTTTCCTTTGTTATCTTTTTTGCCACTTCGCAATTCGTGAGTTATTTAATTTCGAAGTTAGTATAATCCGTAAGATTTTTCTTTGAATTATTTGTTAATTATTATAATACGTAATATATATTATTATGTCGTTTAATAAGTATTAGTAGAAATTTTTAATATTTTATATCTAGTTTAATAAAGCTAATATAGTTTTATTTTCTTTTTAACAATTTAATAACTGTGGTAATAGTATTGCATTGAAATAGTCGATATGTAATGTCAGAATTATCAGTTAAAAAGAACAAGTCAATCAATTTACGTATAAAATACTGAAATTACTTATTGGAAAATATTATATCTATTATTATACTATTCGATTATATCAATTAAATTTGTAAAAAAAAAAAAGAAAAAAATAAAAGTAAATAAATAAAAAAAAAGAAAAAAAAAAGATATTAATATTGTATAACTATAATATATAAATATAAATGCTTTAATTAGAACATACGAAAAAAAAAAAGAAGAAAAAAGGAAAAATAGGAAAAATTTTTTTATATAAGTTATTAATCAACATAATAAATAATTAATACAATTTTTTTACGAAAATATCAATATACAGATTGATTATAAACTCTTACACGTTATTATTAATTTATATAAATAAAATTATAAAATAATTTATGTCGAATGACGAACGAAAGTTATAAAAAAAAATATCAGATATTAATTTGTTATCAAATTATCAAAATCAATATTAATTTCGTTGTTATATAATGAAGAAGAAATGTTTTTAAATCATAGCTACGAATAATCGACATTGACGAGAAAATGAAGGCCATGATGGTGGCCGGCCTTTATTTTTTCCTCTCTTTTCAGAACCTCGTGAAAGAGGACCGCAAACGCGCGGATATAACTTCCCTTTCCATTCTCGTTCGATAACTCTCTTTTGGTATTGCAACCCTCGCGTCTCTTTCTATGACGTTAAGCTGACTCGGCGAGACACATAATGTCAAGTGGCATCGACCGACGGTCGAATTAAAGGATGCTTCGTTTCGACGAGTCTGCATTTCGCGACTCGTGGAAATCGATTTTCTAAAAATGTCTCTTCCTCTCCCTCCCTCCCTCTTTCTCTCTCTCTCTCTCTCTCTCTCTCTCTCTCTCTCTGTCTCTCTCTTTCTCTGCTATCTGTTTCTATATACGTTTAAAATACTTTTATCGAATAACCTGTCTTCATGACATATGGAAAAAAGAAGAAGAAAAAAATTAAGAGAAAATCGTCGAGAAAATATTAACTGAATTTACATTCTGTTCGGAATGTTCAGAACGTATTCTAGACTGCAAATTCTTTTTACTAACGAATATATTTATTTACTAACGAATATATATATACTGATATGTATTAAGTTAATTCGTAAAAGTTATATAGTATTATTTGTACTAGTATAATTATACTATATTAAATACATTTTTTTAAAACATGTATATATATATATATATATATATATATATATTATATACACACCTATAATGTAATTAACAAAAATGATAAACTATAGATTTTAAGTAAAAATTAATTTTATCACGATAAAATGTAATACAATTCAATGAAATACAAATATATACGTAAGAGTTAGACTTCAAAATTATATATAATATATACATACATACATATGCGCAATATTCTAAAAATTAATATTAACAAAGATTATCATTATACATACATACATACATACATACATACATACATACATACATACATACATACATAGATATGTATGTATTATTTTCATACGCACACAAATTTATTATTTTCTTTTATTTAAAAAAATAAATATAAATGTTCAATACGTATAATAATTAAAATATTCAATAAAAATTTCCTGAGAATCAATACCGTAGCTAATTCACGAGGAAATAGACAGTAGTCAATTCCTGTACGGATCAGACAAGAGCTTATATCCCTTCAACTTGTTAGATACTCGATATTGAACAGAAGACAACCTTTCTTCTCATTCGACCTTCTACTAGCTACTGAGAGAAAATCGCTAGCCAACTCCTCTCTCTCTCTCTCTCTCTCTCTCTCTCTCTCTCTCTCTCTCTCTCTCTCTCTCTCTCTCTCTATCTCTCTCTCTCGCTCTCGCTCTCGCTCTCTTGGCAAATCGTTTTTCTCGATCGCTTCGTAGGCCGTTGGCAGTATTCTCTTCTTCTCTTCGTATTCCCCGACCGTACGAGGATCTACCACCATTTACGTAGGCGCTAGCAACTTCCGTTTCTG